CAGTCACCTAATCATCACATCATTATCTTCAGGTCTCAGCTTGGTCACCAAATGGAGCAGGGTATGATAGGATGCCTTGTCAAGATAGGTGAGTTGGTTGATATGGTGAGAGTGCAAGAAAGGTGAAAAATCATAACATAGTAAGGGTATGGTTGAGTAATAAGTGTAGAGATAGGTATGTCCTAACAGACACCTAAGCTTATAAGAAGTAATAGTACTAAAGAGCCCTGTACTAATACAGAGAGCTCTAATAAGAAACAGTAGCAAGTTTTATAAACAAGAAATCTTTATATTCTCTAACTAATAACTGAACTGGTAATAAAGAAAAAGGTAATAAGCAAGATGCAGGAGCTACAGGTGGTTTATATAGCTTAAGAATAGTAGCTTTGGGGTGGTTTGCACCTCGGACTGGAACAATCTTTGTTCTAATGAGGTACCAGAATCCCCACTACAATATCAACTTTTCTAAATTTGGGCCTAGAACTCAAGGTCAAATCTCTCTGTCTTGCTTCATTCATTGCCTCTAGCATCTTGGTAGATGCTTATCCCCCTAAAATGCATTCTATGTATATCTCAGTGCCAAAGTACTAGGCTCCCAGCTCACATTCAAGACAGATTTTTCCCCCAGTCTTGTCTATTCTTCACTCTACTGTTCCCCCCGCGTCAAAGACTGGAACCCCAGCATTCAGTCTTCTAGTTAGAGAACCTTTATGTTCTACACACAACTTCCTTCCATTAGTTGCAGGCATCATATCTACTTAGCTCTTTTGTACCTCTAATCCTGGGAAAACCTACATGACCTATGACCAGTTCTCGTAACAGAAATGCAATGCTTTTATAAAAACTCTTTTCAGAGAACTATCAAGTTATCCACCAATAAAGTGGAATGAATATCATGAAAATCCAGATTGAAAATGGCCTAATCTTCAAGAAATAGAGATCAAGAACTCTATTTTTTCAGGCTCCAAAACCAGTACACCTGGCCCAGATAGTATACCTTTTCTTATACAACAAAAAATCTATCCAGTATTTAAAGATAGATTTTTCAAGTTATACTCTATACTATTTGAAAAAGACTAACATCTAGAAATCTGGAGAGAAGCTACTGGAGTTATTCTAAAGAAACCAAATAGAAAAGCTTCAATACCAAAATCTTACAGAATCATCTCTCTTCTTAACTGCTTGAGAAAAGTTATAGAGAGAGTTATTGCTTCTAGACTTTCTTACTGGGCCTCTCAAAATAAACTACTATATATGGATCAGTTTGGAGAAAAGAAGTAATGTTCTGCTATAGATGCTGTAATGAGTTTGGTACATGATATTCAATTAGCAAAAGCTAATAAATTGGTAGCCTCAGCTCTTTTTATTGATATAAAAGGAGCATTTGACTATGTTTCACTAAATAGACTATTAAAAGTCTTCTCTGATTTGCAACTACCTAAATCACTAGCTATGTGGATTTTTCATTTTATGCAAACAAGAAAAATCCAACTGGTTTTTGATGGTGAGAAATAACAAGAAAAGATATCTATAAATATTGGAATTCCTCAAGATTCACCTCTATCTCCAATACCTTTCTCTATATATACTATATTTCTCTTTAAGAATAATAATGATCTAGATCTTAAAGATATCAGAATTTCTAGTTATATAGATGATACTGGACTTGTTGTCTTCTCTTTCTTATTAGAAGAAAACTGCTTTAAGTTAGATAAAGCTTTACAAGCAATATCTAATAGACAAGATTCTCATGTAGTTCAATTTGATATGGAAAAAACTGAGTTAATCCACTTTACTAAATCATTTAGTGAAGATAACTCAGTTAAACTATATGATCAAGTTTTTAAACCAAAGAAGCTAGTGAGATGGTTAGGTCTTTGGCTTGACAATACTTTTACTTCCAAGAACCATGTTGAAATTAAGATATCAGCTGCTGAAAGAGTTCTTAATCAAATAATTAAACTTTCAAATACTGAAAAAGGTCTTATTTTTCAAGCTATGAGACAACTTTATATAGCTTGTATTACCTCAGTAGCTGATTATGGTGTTCAGATTTGGTGGAAGAATCAAAAGAATCTTCTCAATAAGTATGAAAAACTCTAAAACTCTGCTTTAAGAAAGATTCTAAAAGCTTTTAAAACTTCTCCAATTTATGCTATGAAGGTCAAAGCTGCTATTCCTCCTGCCAAAGTAAGATTTAATAGACTATACAGAAACTATGCTTATAGACTATTAAAAATGCTAAAAGAATATGCAATCAGAAAAAGAGTATCTTCTAGCTTTCCATCTTATAACAATGGTGTTGATCTTGATTGGGGAAGGGTTTTAGATTGAAATCAATCAGAATTAAATAATGAATATGTTGAACAAAAATCAATTAAAAGAAAAAGAAAAAGAAAAAGAAGAAAAATCAATAAACAAAAAAGGTATCCAAGTCAACTATTCAGAATTTGTTCAATGATTTCAAATATATTACCTTCTCTAAAAACAGAGAGAATCAAAGCAAAATGAAATGCCCCTTGGTCTGAAAATCTAGCTGATTTGATAGATATTCAAATTGAAAATTCAGACAAGAAAACAGCTAAAGATAGTCATATAAATAGAATTAAAAATCTAGATAATAGATCTTTAATTCTCTATTCAGATAGATTTAAAGCTGAAGAAAATCAATATGCTGGTGCTGGTGTATACAATCTATAAGATAATATTAGATTTTCATAGGATCTAGGCAAATATTGTAGTGGGGATTCTGGTACCTCATTAGCACAAAGATTGTTCCGGTCTGAGGTGCAAACCACCCCAAGGCTACTATTCTTGAGCTATATAAACTACCTGTAGCTCCTGCATCTTGCTTATTACCTTCACACACTATTGCTCTTTTCTACACACTCATTCCTTACTACTAGTTTGGTTATTAGTTAGAGAATATGAAGATTTCTTGTTCATGAAACTTGCTACTGTTTCTTATTAGAGCTTTCTGTATTAGTACAGGGCTCTTTAGTACTATTACTTCTTGTGAGCTTAGATGTCTGTTAGAACATATCTATCTCTACACTTACTACTTGACCATACCCTTACTATATTGTGATTTTTCACCTTTCTTGCGCTCTCACCATATCAACCAACTTACCTACCTTGACAAGGCATCCCATTGTACCCTGCTTCACTATCTTAAAGTCTTTAATGCAGAACTGTTTGCTATAGATAAAGTATTTAAATTAGCAAGCTCTATCTCTCAGTCTCAATCAAGATTAATATCAAATATCTGGGTGTTTTTTGATAGTCAAGCTGCTATTCAGAGACTCATGAATCAAGATCTTAATTCTGGCTTATATTATCTCCAATCTATAAGAAAAACTGTTAAGTATATTAAAAATCAGCAAATTACTATACATCTTCATTGGGTTCCTGCACATGTAAATATACATGGAAATGAAGAAGCTGATCTAGCAGCAAAGAAAGCTACAGAATTAAATCAAGTTTGTTCTGAGAGATATATATTGTTAAGAGAACCAGTCATAGGTCACATAGGTTTTCCCAGAGTTAGGGGTACAAAAGTGCTAAGTAGGTACAATGCCCACAACTAATGGGAGAAAGTTGTGTGTAGAACATAGGGGTCCTCTAACTAGGCAACTGAACACTGGAATTCCCACAATTCATGCAAATTGTGTGATTCTTATACATTCAAAGTTAGAATTATGTGAATACTCCTGAACATTCAATATTGTCTGATGCTTGGTTAATTTAAATCTACATTTATAACACTATCTCTTTTCCCAAAGACCTTAGACTTGGAGGTATAGAGCTACTGAAGTGATTTTTTGTACATTATTGTAGCTCTTCTGTGATTGATAGAGCATTATAGATTCTTGAACATGCAAGCTTCTGCATTACTACTGCTTGTCTATATAGATATTCTGTATATGTATTACTGCTGGTTGCAGTAGACATTCTTCATTATAAAATGGTAATCATTTTATTACAAACATCCAGCATTTCATCATATACTTGTTTCTTTACTTATTTGCTTGTCTGGTTGCTATGTCATCTGTTGTTCATTGTCACATTATCTATTAACAAGTCATGAAACTAGTAACTTTAGTGCATTGCAGTATAAGTATAAATAAAGAATTTCTGACTTTCTTCTTTCTTCTTTTTCTTCTGCTTTATTTAGACTCAGGCATCATTTCTTATTTATTTTATAACTTATTACAATATCATCATTAAAAGACTCTGTTATATATAATGAAGAAGACACTCTTCTATGCTTCATCTGTATTTACTTAATATTTACAGACTGTCTGGATGAAGACAAGTCTTGTCTATAAAATAACAAGAAGAAATCTTGTTCTTATTGTTTACAATATCAAACTTATATCTATTATAATATAAGTGTATCTTTATCTGTTCTTCTTGTTGTTCTGACATGGCTGTAGATTCCAGAATCCATTATTAAACTAGTTTGTTAGCTCTTGTAACTTCAAGAAGAATACTATAGTTTTAATGCAGCTGATCTGTATTGTCTGTACAACATTAAGTACATGAGTATACTTATGTGTGAATTTCATGAGCTTAACTCAGGAGCCACTAAATATTATCACTGCCAGGCTACTTCTGCTGTTGAAGAATCTTGTATGAAACATTGTTGTTTTATCTCACATTATATAGTTAAGACTATAGACCTTGTATCTGAAATAAAATCTACCAAAGACAGCCTGTCTGAGTTCTCTTATTTATCAAGCCCAGTTTGTACTATTCTCTCTTGAGTTGAAAATGAAGTTATAAACATCTGAGTCTTGCTTGATTATCTTATAACTTGTTTGACAAGTGGAATCAAAGCTCTTTAAGACAGCACAGAAATCAATCTTATAGATCTTCTGTACTATCTTACTTGTTCTCAGACTAACTTCTGCTTAGGCCAATCTCATATCTTCTATTAATTATCTAACCAATATTGTTTCTTCTAGTTTTCAAAGTGTTGTAGAAATACTTCATTCTCTTTATAGTTCTTCATCTGTAATGTCTTTCTCTGTAACTGTATCTTTTGTTGTAGTTTTATTTATCATTATATTAAACATATCTGTGACTCCTGAGTCTTGCTCATCTATAGCCAGTTTACTACTGTTATAACCACATCTCAGGCACTCTTGTGGCATGCCTTCTTGCTATTAAATTCTTGATTTTATAGATGTGTCATGATCTTTATGTTTGTTTTGTGTCATGTTTATCTTTCTTTCTGTATATAGGTTTATTCACCTTCCTATAATTATATCTTTTCTTTAGGTAATTTTTAAGGGTCTCTTGTGCATTTTCAAGATTTTTCTCAGATTCCCACATTGATTCCCCAATAGAGAATCCTTTCCACTTCACTAGATAACATCTCTTGTAGTAGTGTATTTTGTTATCTAAGATCTTATCTACTTTCCACTCATGATGATCATCTACCAGTATTGTGAGAGAATGCATTGATGCCTCACCCATTCTTGTATAGTACAGTTGCAACAATAAGATATGGAAAACATTATGGATCTGATAGCTTGGAAAGAGCTTCAGTCAATATACATTATTTTCTATAGCCTGTATTACTGAAAAAGATCTATAGTACTTGTTATTTAACTTCTTGCAAGAATATATTGTTTATAGATTTCTTGATAACAACATCACTTCATTACCAGATGCATACTTTTTATCTTAACATCTTTAATTATAGAATCATACTTGGTTCTCTTTTGCTTTCATCAAACATTCTATCAAACTATCTCTTAATATGAAGATCATCCTCAGTCTTTCATCAGATATTGTCTGTGTATTATCATCATCATCAATTAACTTCTGGATCTTGTCTGGTTCCCTAGATTTAAAGCCATGCATTACTTTGAACAAGAACATGTGCATTACAGAGTGTTCTGATCTGTTGTATGCAAATTCTGCATACACAAGCCACTTCTTTTAATCATCTTGTCTATAACTATAATAGGCACAGAGATATCTCTTCAAGATCTTGTTCAGTATCTCTATTTGGCCATTTATTTGTGGGTGAAATGCCATGCTAAGTTTTCATCTAACTTTCATGTGAAAACATAGCTCTGACCAGTATTTACTTGTGAAAACAGATCTCCAGTTCAAAACAATATTATTTGAAAATCTAAAGGCTTTAAACATTCTTCTGAACAGAAGATTTACCATCTCTAGTGTGTTAATCTTCTTTCTACACACAAGAAAACATGCAAGCTTTATAAATCAATTCACAACAATCAAGACTGCATCATATCAATTTCTCTTCTCTTCACTTGAAGGGAGATCTATTATAAAGTTCATGAATATTAAACACCAGAAACCACTGGGTGTCAGTAATAGTGTAAGAATTCACTGCAAACCCTTTACATGGTCAAGCAGCACTTGTGTTGTGTGTTTTTGAGTTTTGTGACTGGGAACCTCCCTGGGTTCTTTAGGGTCTTAAGGGTCTCAAAGAGCTCAAAGAGAGCACAACAGATTGGAGATAGTGATCAATAATTTAATGGTACTCCAGTTGAGTGGGCAGTTTTGCTCTGATGACAAAAAGTTTCTATACAGGTATATCAGAGTCAGAGCAAGGCTATCATGCCTTCTCAAGAGTAGCAGAATCAGATACAGTCATACAGTATCACAAGACTTCAATAATATGAAAAGTAACCAAGATATGAAAGTATCTGATTCAAGGATATCTATAAGATAGATAAGAAGATTGATTACAATAAACAAGTCCATCAGATTTCTGGTAATAAGCATTCTTATATACATGATGCTCTTCTGGTGATAGTCCTGCTAAGCTGTCCTATTCATTCTATCACAGTATGCTTGCTATGTCCTCCAATTAGTTCTATCACACTCAGTACAATCAGTCAGCTTATTAGTTCTATTACTGATCACATGACTTTCTGTTCTAAGATTTCTTCACAACAGTTCATGGCTCTGTCTTGTCAGATTTCATCTAATCATTCTATGTATTTGGCTGCTATGCCACAAGATTCATAACATCATTCTCTTCTTTTACAGCACATTGTTCTCAACCACTCTGTATTCCTTTCTGGGGTATAAAAAAGTGTTCTCCTATTCTTTTTTGAGCTTTCAGGTTTTTCTCTTGTTTTTAGTGAGTGTCTTCATGGTTTTCTTTCACCATGTTATCTGCTTCTAATGTTCACAAGAATAATCTTCTTTTTGCCATGAAGCAATCCAGATTCATTATGCTTTCTCCCTGCTCTCAGTGTTTCTTGCTGGGTAAGACTTGTCTAAAGTCAAGTCATTCTTCTCAGTGTAGTGAGTGTGTTCATACTAGTTGTTGTTGTATTCACAATAATGGTTCTTTCACTGCTAATTGACAGAAATTGTTTGAGACTCAGAATAAGCTTGAGTATATCAAGCAAGAAACTCTCTCTTGTCTTCTCCATCTTTAAAAGCAGAAAAAGTTACTTCACAATTAGGCTGGTAAATTTCTTGAGTTCAAATCAAAGTTCATAGAAGACCTGGAACATCTTGAGAAGAAGAAGCAGAAAAGAGTGGCTGAGCAGGCAGAGATTCAAAGTCTGCTTGCTTCATTAAATGACTTATCTTTCTTGAATTCTCTTCTGGTTCTTTCTAATTCATTCATTAATGCTTTGCTGAGTGAGAGTGTTGTTGATGATATATCTCAACAATTATTCAGACATTCTTGAGATTTTCTGTTGGTTCTCAGGTGTTTTCTGAGATATTATACTCTTTTCATTTCATCAAGTAGTGAAGTTGTCTGCTGATCTTCTAATAATCTAGTATCTGTTTGACTTTGTATTCTTGTTCTTTATTAATCTCCATGGGCATTTCTTTGGCATATAGCAGTGCTTTCTCCAATAATGAGACATGAAATACTGGGTGTATTCTCATCTTCTTAGATAGCTAGAGTTTGTAGTTGACTTTTCCAATCCACTTCATGATTTTGTATGATCCCAATTTTTTGAAATCAAGTTTTTCACTTGGTTATTTGGTTTTGATATTTTGTTGAATTAGAAATACTTTTTCTCTCTCTTTCAGGGTTAGTGCCTCCTGGCATCTTCTGTCATACTAATGCTTTATTCTCTTGTTCTGAAATTTAATGTTCAGTTTTATCTGGTTCTGCAGTTCTTGTAGTTGTATTGCTCTAAGTTCTGCTTCTTGAGTCTTTTGTCATGTAATTTTTGATTGTTTCTGTATTTCTGGTTCTCTGCTGTAGTTCATGTAGAATAGTATCATTTCTGTAGTGGCATTCTTCACTCTGTTGTATGCTAATTATGCCATGAGTAGTAGTATAACCCAATTGTTTTGTTGATAATTGATATATTCTTACAGATATTACTTTAAGATTTGATTCAGTTGCTCTGTCTGTCTATCTGTCTGTAAATGATAGACTGTTGATATCTTCTGTTCAATTCCCAATTGTGCCATCAGTATTATTTAGAATTTGCTTGTGAATCTGGTGTCTCTGTCTGTAATTATCTCTTCTGACATTCTCTAATTGGCAAGCACATTTCACAGTACTATTAGTGCTGTATCTGGTGCTGTTGTTGCTTCTCTGAATGATATAAAGTATCCATACTTTGTCAATTTATTGCTGATTACTAGTATTGAGTCATACTTCTTCCCTTTCATATTCTTCAAATTTGAGAGTTTCATAATGAAATCCATTGCTATGAATCTTCATAATTCTTACAGTTGCAGTATTGGCTGTAGCTTTCTGTATGGTCAGTGTTTGTTGGCTTTGCTTCATGCACATGTCTCACATTCTTTGACATGTTGTTGAATATCTGTCCACATTTCTGGTCAATAGTAAGTTCTTATGATTTTCTCCATTGTCTTGTTGATTTCAAAATGTCCTGCAGTGATTATATTATATTCTTGTACCATCACTTGCTTTCTGACTTTTCTGAATACATATATCAGTCCATAATATAGTATCATTCCATCTTCTTCTTTAAAGTTCTCATTTTTCTTGTTGATCTTTTTTGCATATTCATCTTTCTTCATTACTTCTTTAATCTTTTTCTTGATATCCAATCCTTCTGTAATGATTCTTGTTGCTGTCAATATTTGTCAGTCCAGAACCATATTCTTTGTTTCTTCTAACTCTTTGAAGAGTGTTCTTGAATCTTGTTCTCTTCTCATAAGATCTAGTCTTTAGCTTAATATATCCACCCAGGCATTTTCTATACCTTTGCAGTGTCATATTCTGAAGTTATAGTGTACCAGTACATATGTGTACTACCTGACTTGTTGTCTTGTAAGCTCTTTGGTTGTTATGAAGTATTACAGATTGTTATAATCTGAGATAATTTCTGTCTGATATTGATTTTCTTGTAGTTTGACCTTCCATTTCTTTAGTAATGCCACTATCGCAAGTAGTTCTTTGTTGTGGATATTGTAGTTTTGTTCAGCTGGTATCATTATTCTTGCATAATATGTAACTAGTTGTAGTCTTTCTTATTTATCTGGTTGTTGTAGTCTTTCTGCTATTGCACAGTCTGATGCATCTGTATGAATCACACATCTCTTTGTCAGATCATAGTGTTATCTCATTTCTTCTTTTCTAAAAACTTGTCTTTTATTGCTTCAAACACTTGTTAACACTTCATTATCTATTTGAATACTTTATCTTTCTTGAATAGCTGTGTGAGCAGTCTCACTTTCTTCAAAAATCCATGTATGAACTGTCAGTAGTAATTCACTAGTTCATGAAATATCTGAACTTTTTTGACTTCCTTTGATGTTGACCATTGTAGTATTTCATCAATTTTTTCTAGCTTCATTCATATTTCTTCTGTTGACACAATGTGTCCAAGATATCCAATTTTCTTCTTGAAGAAGTCACACTTCTTTAGTTTTGCTGGTAGATTGTATTTTCATAGCTTTTCCAGTACTTTCTTGACTTTTCTAGTGTGATTCTTTCAGTCTTCTTTGGTGAATATAACCACATCTTCAAGATATTTTATTCTGGAATCTGTTTTCCATTCATCATCTTTTTTGATTCATATCTGGTGGTAAGCATCTTTAATGTTGATTAGAGTAAACCATGTTACTTCCCTCAATCTGTCTTGCACTTCTTCAATCAGTAATATCAGATAGCAGTTCTTGACTATAATGCTGTTCAACTGTCTGTAATCTACATATAGTTATAAGATTCTGTTCTTCTTTGGTGCAAACAGTATTGAATATCCTGCCAGTGACATCAACTCTCTAATGTAATCTTTCTTGAGATTATTCTTAATGTATTTCTTCACTTCAGCTGATTTTTTCTCATTTAATCTGTATATTGGCAATTTCACTGGTTGTTTTCCATCTTGTAGTTTTATCTTATGATCTCAGGATTCATACTTCAGTAAACTATTGCTCTGATCTTTTTTCCTAAATATATTAATGTATTTCCAGAATTCTTCTGGTAGAGTTTTCTTGATTCTTTCATCCTGATCATTCTTTCATACTCATAGCTGCTTCAAGTT